TATCTCTGTAGACCCCAATACACCCCGGCGGCGGGCAATGAATCCGCTCCCCGGGGTAGGGCGCAAATAGGTGAACTCCCGGGCCAAAATTGTACTTGCTTCGCAACTGGACCAAATCGGCATCGTCTATTGCCGAGGCCATGAACCAGGGCATAGAATCACTGTGGGTCCCCCAGACTCGAGGAGGGCGGCGCCAAAAGCCTGTAGGGATGGAAGTAACTGCCTCGATCTCAGCATCGGTGGCATCGTCGCCACGGCCCATCGGCACCCTCTCTCGACCCCCCCTGTCGCCGCGGAGAGTTTCGTCAACCAAATCTTGATCGACGTCCGAGTCGGATTTAAGGAAATCGACGTTCACGTCCGCCTCGTCACCCGCTCCCGCGGTCCAATTCAAATCCGGCCCGACGCCGAAACTCTCGCCTGGGTTCGGATCGGCTGGAGGGGAACTCGGACGAACCATAGAGATCGGCACCGCCTCGGCCAGAGCCCTCTCGGCCGACATCGGAGAATAGGGCATAAGCTTGCTCGTCGCGGGCGAAAACGGGTCACCGGAAGAACCGGAACCCTCTCCGGACGCGCCGGCCCCAGATCCGGGTTGGGAGAGCGAAGACATAGGCGAAAAAAGAAAGTAAGAGCTGGGTCAAAAATTGAAGAAATTACCGTAAAGAAAACAAAAAGTCCGACCAGAAAACCGCTTGAGAGTCTCTTCCTCGAGAAGCCAAAAGAAATCTGATTTTGTGAAGATGAGAAGAAGGAGAAACAGTTATCGAGGAACCCTATTTATAAAGATTCGGCCCCCAATCAGATCCTGCCACGTGTAAGGAATTCAAAATTCGAAAATTTGAAAAGGCGAAACCGCCGCCAACCGACGCACACGATCTTCTGGGAATTTAATGGGGCAACGACACGTGTCCACCACGATAAAAACTGCACGACCTTTCGTAACCGACAGGAAAGCAACCGTCAGGTCGCATTAAATACACGTACCTTCAGCTGACGTCATCAATGTCGGCCGTAAGATCAATCCTACGCGCGCAAAGTGTAGCGGAAGAGCCGACCCGGGCTGCCCAAAGTGACGACCTCAGAGGAGACGTCGCGGACCTCACCTCCAAGCTCGGGGGCCTGTATGTTGACATCCGGATCGGTCGGGTCAGAACCAAACGGGTCGGCCCCATGAGTTATATGGGACCGAACTCCTGGAAAGTGTCGGGCCGATCAGGAACACAGGAGCCGACCTGAGCCAAGGAATTATACACAGTACGGGTCGAAGGGAACATTTCCCGAGCCCGGCACTCGGACATGTTGGGAGCCGAGCCGCTCTCATCTCGGTACCGAACTGAAGAAAGGCTCACCCGGGTCACGCGGACCTTTATAGCGAAGGTGCCGATCTGAATAAGCTAGAGCCGCCCTGCCAAGGGATAGCGCCGGTCTGGTCGCCACTGAAATATTCACCACTTGGGAGGTCATCATTCACTGATGGGACGGCCCGTCACAATCGTTCAATCAGCATTAAATGCTACCCATGCTTGCATTTAATGCCTAGCAAGCAATGATTGGGAAAACCTCAAATCGCATTAATGAACTGTCAGGAAGGCGCCGAACCGCTCTGCAAGTTTACTGTACGACAAGACCGGTGAACAGTACCCCATTTAAGAGTACTATAAATAGCAGTCCACCACATTTATTTTGGGGTTGTTGAAACCCCAACTAACTCAAACTTTCCTCTACTTTCTCTCTCTAAATTGTAAGAAACCCCCCTTAAGGAATTGTAAGTATCTCATAAGTGCCGACCTCGTACGAGAGGCCGACCTCGTGATCATTAAATAAAATCGTAATTAAACTATATCTTCCCTTTATTTCCAGTCCTGCACTTTCCATACTTTTAATCTCAACTGTTGACCGAAAACGCTCGTCAACAAAGACATTGGGCGAAATGTGTTAAATGTTGAATTTGGTTATTTTATTTTAAGTTAATAAAATAAAAAAAATAATAATAATAATATAACTTGAAATAGTAAACGCAGTGAAAAATAAAATAAAAATATAGCTTTATGTATAATATTTGAGAAATTTTTTAAAAATCACAAATGAAAAAAAAAATCCATTTAATTAAAAAAAAATTCCATTTCATTCAAAGAAAAAAAATACTCACTCAAAGCTCCAAACTTTCATTTATTTTAAATATATGACTTAAGGTTATTGAAGTACATAGTGCGCAGTTATATAGATTTTTTATTAGAAAGTATTAGTTTTTGTTTTATATTTAACAAAATTAAATAACAAATCCATATTGAAACTCGTATGAAAATGAATTGAGTTCACTTAACTCTTTTATTGGCTATCACTAATTGTGCAATCATAAATAACATTTTGCATATCCAAGCAAGAAGAAAAAATTAACAAAGTATAAAAGAATAAGACAAAAAATGTAAAAGAATTAATTCAATCAATAATAACTACTATTTAATTTTGTCATGAAATTTAGAAGGTGAATAAAATATGAAAAAATTAGTTTAAAGAATACAAAAATTAAGATTTAAGATTAATTTTGCATTTAATATTTTATTATATAATATACATATATATATATATATATATATATATACACACATATTAAAAAACACATAAAATTGGGCCATGGGCGGTTGTCCGGTCGCCCTACCGAGGGTCGGCCCTGCGTGAAGCGCACCGAAGTAGGGCGAGCCTAGATAGGCCTTAGTGGAGTTTCATCGTAAAACCAATTGGAGTTTCATCCTAAAACCAAGTGCGCTCCACCTGATGGGACAACATTTTCTTCTCCCGGTTCTAATACTAAGAGATGCTTCCTTGTGCACTTGATGAAAAACAATAAATACTCCATATACTCAACTAAAATAAGAGCATTTTGTGTTTTAATTAGTTATATTTATTAATTTGTAGACGAATGATTTGGGAGTCAAATATATAATAAATCAGTGGTTGTTGGGTCATGAAATTAGATATGGCTATGATTGAATTGTGATTTATGAATGAAATGCACTTCTTGAAAAAGAATAATGTTATTGTCGGTGAGAGATGTAGGCCCTCTACATTCATGTCCTTTTCTTGCTTTGTTTCTGCTTAATTCCGTGCTTCATAAATATGTATTTATAGTGTGTTTGTTAATAATACTGTACAATGAGCCCGGGTCGTTGATGAACCATTGGGCCCCAATTAGAATTTGCGGCCCAATATTTTCAATCTCCATGTACTTTCTAGAAAAGCGTTTTTCTTTTTATCTATACAATCACAAGTGTTTTTCAAATTGCAAATATTCTGAATTTTGACTATGTTTGGTAAAACTAGCTAATAAACTAATCACCGGGCCTCAATCTCATGGCCCGTGACCGGCCCTGAACTGTCGGTTCACCGACCTGGCGGGTTTTGGACGATTCTGAACCGATACAGCCCTTAAAAAAATTATAATAATAACGTTGTGACCGGTCGTCCAACCCGTGGCCCTACCCAGCCCGGCGGGACAAAAAAAAAAAAAAGAACCGGGACTGAACCGCGACCCTAAGGGTCCGGTCCAATGAACCGGCCCTTAAAGGGCCAGTTCGCGTCGGCCGAGACCCGTTCACGGGCCGGTTTGGCCTGTGAACATGTCTACTTATAACTTATAGCTAAAAAACTAACTAATATGATAAAAGTGTTTGGTAAAATTAACTGATAAGTTAGCTTAAATAAAATTTTCAACGAGCTTATCTAAAACATTACTTAAGAAGTTTATCAAATAAGCTCGAGTTATTTAAAGAAACTCATCCTACCAAACTAAAAACATGTTGGAATACAGGGAACTACTTATAAGCTAATAAAATAAGCTATAAACTAATTAACTGTATATGAATTGATTTTGTAAGTTGCATTGTTTTTAGGTTAATAATTCGATTATAAATGACTTATTAATAATTTTATTTTGGGCAATCTTGTTTTGTGCTAAAAAAAAATTAAATATATAAATATAAAAGCCCTTTTTTCCTTCTCCTTTTTAAATGGTATTCATTACCATCTTCTGCCAAACTATTGTAAAGCTCATTAAATAACAATTTATATCCTTTATTTTAAAATACCAGAAAGCTAGCTGCACTTGTTCACATATGCTATAGAAATTGGTCTACTTATTTTGCTGCTAATAATAATAATAATAATAATAATAATAATAATAATAATAATATTAATAATAATAATAATAATAATAATAATAATAATAAAAGAATCAACTATTGTACTAGAATACTAGTTTCATGTCATCTACTTTCAATCTTATCAAACGTACACCAAAAAAATTATACGACTACTGTATGTACCGTATTTATCTTACCCGACTGAGTGCGAAACAGCAGAATAAGAGGCATTTGTTTCTAATAAAAGCTGAAAGTACCTGTGAAACCTAAACGGATACAAATATAGTCATAAGATCCAGAATAAAAGTCGAACGCTCAAGGCCAAATTCATAGTTGAACCATTCTAACCATCTCACAGAGTACGAACCGATCATTAAATTAAATTGCAAGCTTAGTTGCACCAAATTCATATAAATAGATAACTCAGCCAATCTCTAATACCATCAAAGTCTCACCGTTTTGATGCTTTCAATCGAGTGTTTGTTATTTATTGACTTTATGTACAGGCAGAGAGAAACGATAAGACGTAAAGTCTCTTTCCCAAGTGTTTTTCTACGAATGTTTTGTTTGTGATCGACTTAAATCTGGTGAAATGTAAAAGTCTCATCCTCAGCATGCCAATCTTGAAGAGGAGTATCAAATGCCTGAAATATGAAACTAATAATAATAATAATAATAATAATAATAATAATAATAATAATAATAATAATAATAATGCCCGTATCTTGTCTAAACAAAATGACACAAGATTTAAGAAAAAATAAAATAAAATAACCTTGGATAGTTCGGAATTTTGAAATCTTACCTTCAAAGATGAAATCCAGAGGGTGCACACTCTTATCATCATATAACTCGATTTCAACTTGAGCTTGAAGAAAATGAAGCAGCATTAGTATTTCGACTCGATCGAGTCTCGTTAGGACCATACTCATTACCATTGTCCCTAGTCTCAAGACGCTCCATCATGCGGGACACAGTGGCGATTCCAGCATTCACTTCTCTCCGAACCTCACACCCGATATCCGCCATGGATGAGTTTCGAGAAAACAACTTCTCCTTCAATCCTCTCGTACTTTTCGAAATCGAATCTTTGTATCTAAAAGTTTCGATCAGCATATGCACAAGTTTTAGAATTTAACAGAAAAAAAAAAAAAAAAAAAAGTATCTCAAATATGTGCGTACAAAGAAAGTTGAGAAAGTGGAAACTACTATTGTAACATCAGCCAAGAAAAACTCATACTTCATTGACATGGCACTCAGACGAGATTTCCAATTGTCTGAAAAGGACTGCAGCTCCGAGGGTCCCGCATTGTCGAGATTTGGTGACAATGATTCACTTACATAGCTTCTTAAAAAAACAGATATAAGAGTCAGAGAAATAAAAAAGGATGCAGACCTATCATATGGTGTACCCATAAGAAACTAAAATAATCAGAAACACAGAGAAACTGAAAAATAAACCAAGAAAACTATATAATAAAAAATAAATAAAAACCTTATAAGAACCAAAAACTCTAGAAAACTGAAAACTGCATGGAAAAAACAGGGAAAAAAAAAAAAAAAAA